TAGATCATTTAATTACTGGTTTATACGGGAAAAATAGGATAAATATCTGTGGGGGGTTTTCCACCTTTATCAATTTCCAGAGTAATGAGTTAGTGCCTTAGCAACCTCCAGAAGACAAATGAGAGGTTTTTTGATGCTCTAGTTAGTTGTTCATCTTTGGACAAGAGGCTCCTTATTATGTAGGTTCCTATGTCCTCTTGACAGAAAGTAGCCTTTGTTAGCTTCCCTCCTCTTACACCTGACAAGATGTTCCAGGTTCATCTTGTACATTTCCTGTCTCAGACCTGAATTGATGACCTCTCAAAGATGTGAAATGTTATTTAAAGACCATCATCTGGGTACTAGGGATGTTCTTAATGAGTTCTCATTGGTTTAGGCTTTTTCACATAAGGGAGAACCAAGAATTACATAAGATTTAGAAGGACGTAAAAATAGTTCCCAATTTAAATTTAATGTTATAAGGATTTTATTTTTTTGTGTTATAATTGTTATCTGTAATTACTTATTTGCCTTAGATGTATGTAAATAGTTTCAAAATCACAATGCTAATATTCTTACTAAAGACTACTGAATGCAGTTTGATTTCTTTGTGGTGTTTATATCCTTAGGATATTATACAGTTAGGTACATGTAGTCAAAAAATACCATGCTTAAAGTAACATGAAATTACTCTCTGTGCATTTTTGCCCCTACTTTGATAAACAGCTTCATTTGCTTCTAGGGATTTTGGTTTTGGGGGGTGCATAAGAGGGGTTGTTTTACATGCCTCCAGAGTCAAACAGTAAGAAAGCCAAGGTACATTCAGAAAGGTCTGGTTTTCATCCCTGTTCCTTCCTCTCCCTGAATTTTTAATTGAGTTTTGGTTTATTTTTTATTACTTATTTTTGTCCATAGAACTAATAACTGTTCTATATATATTTGTATTTTCCCCTTACACGCGGAAGAGAGCATACTATACAGTTTTGAACCTTGCTTTTTTTTCCCATTTTTAAGAAATTATGGTAAAATACATATAAAGTTCACCATCTTAAGCATTTTAAAGTGTACTGCTCATTAGTGTTAAATACATTCATAATATTGTACAACCGTCACCACCATCTCTAGAACTCTTCATCTTGTAAAAATGAAATTACATGCTCATTAAACAATAATTCCTTATTCCTTTTCTGCCCAGCCCCTGGCAACCACCATTCTACTTTGTGTCTCTGTGATTTTGATTACCCTCTGAGTATCTCGTGTAAGTGGAATCATACAGTATTCACCTTTTTATGACTGGCTTATTTCACATAGAATATTGTCCTCAAGGTTCATCAATATTGCGTATTTCAGGATTTCCTTTTTGAGACCGAACAACATTCCATTGTTTGTCTTTATCACATTTTGCTTATTGAACCATCTTTGGATAGACATTTGGGTTTGTTTCCACATTTTAGCTATTGTGATAATGCTGTGTATGTGGCTATGCAAATCTCTGTGAGACTCTGCTTTCAATTCTTCTGGGTATACACTTAGAAGTGGAATTGTTGCATCATATGGTAATTCTATTTTTCATTTTTTGAGGAACTGCCATTAATGTTTATCACAGCAACTGTACCATTTTACTTACCCACCAACAGTGCACAAGGGTTCCGGCTTCTCTGCATCCTCACCAATGCTTTTTTTTTTTTTTTTACAGTAGCCATCCCTAGTAGGAGTGAGGTGGTGTCCCATAGTTTTGATTTGCATATTTCAGATGATTGGTGATGTTAAGCATCTTTTCCTATGCTCATTGGGCATTTATATATTTTCTTTGGAGAAATGTCTATTCAAGTCTTGCCCATTTTTGAATCGGTTGTGTTTTTTTGTGGTGAGTTTAGAATTTCTCTATAGATTCTGAATATTAATACCTTATCAGATATATGATTTATAAATGTTTTCTTCCATTCTATGGCTTGTCCTTTTATTGATAAAATTTTTAATTTTCATGAAGTTTACTTTGTCTTTTTTTCCTTCTGTTGGCTATGCAACAGAAAATTGATGTCCTAGGCAAGAAATCATTACTAAATCCAATATTGCAAAGCTTTTGCCCTATTTTTTCCTACAGTTTTATAATGTTAGGTCTTACCCTTTGGGTCTTTGATCCATTTCGAGCTAATTTTTGTATGTGGTGTTAGCTAAGATGTCCAACTCTTAATTTGCATCTGGATATCCAGTTTTCCCAGCACCATTTGTTTAAAAGACTGTTCTTTCCCTGCTAGATAGTCTTAGCACCCTTGTCAAAAATCATTGGACTATATATGCAAGGGTTTATTTCTGGGCTTTCTATTCTGTCATTGGTCTATATGTTTGTCTTACTGTACCTTGCTTTTTTCACTTAAACAATCTTGGAATCATTCCATAGTGGTATGTACAGATTGTCCTCATTTTTATTTTATAGCTGCACAGTATTCCATTATGTGGCTTTTCCGTGGTTTAGACAAACTGTTCCCCATAGATATTTTGGGTGTTTTCTGTCTTTCACTGTTTTAAACAATATTGCCTTTAATAGCCTTGTATATATGTCACTTAACGTTTTTGCCATTATAACCTTGGGATATATTCTTAAAAATAGGATTGCTAGCTTAAGGGCAAATACACATACAGTTTTGCTGGGTCTTATTCCTGTGAAACCTCTGCCCAATAACAATGCTGCCATCTTACCAAATGTTTTAAACACAGAAGCAAGAAAACACCCCCTTCTCTGAAAAAATGAAAAAATAAAAATGAGCTGGGCATGTTGGCATGCTCTTATAGTCCCAGCTGTGGGGGAGGTTGAGGCAGGGGGATTGCTCAAACTGAGGAGTTCCTGACAAGCCTGGGCAATATAGTGAGACCTTGTCTCAAAAAAAGAAAGAAGAAGAAGAAAAGAGAATAATATAATGAATACTAAATAAACCTCACAAATCTTAACTCCAAGCCATATTTACTTAAACATACATACATATACACTGGAGATACCCTGGCGCTCCCTGCCCACTCCCTTTCTCCCAGGAAGGTGTTACTATTATGAATTCAGTGTGTTTCATACTCATGTAAGTGCTTTATTATGCTTTCATTACATACGTATGTTTTTACAAAAATTCTACAGTAATCTGTAGGTTTTAAATTTGTATTTGTGCAAGTACGATCATACTATAGGTATCAGTCTGTACATCATGCTTTTTTTGTGCTTAACATCATTTTGAGAGTTATTCATTTTATTAGATGAAGTTATAGTTCATTTTTTATTAGCTGTGTAGCTTTCCATTATAAGAATATGCCACAGTTTATTTCCTATGGATGATTCTTTAATTTCTTGATTTATGATTTTGATGTCTTTGGCAGGTATTTACCAATGTTACTATGCAGCCCAGCCAGGCTTTTCTATTTTAAAGACTAATTGGTGTTCCCAATTTAGAGGGTGTTTTTTCTTTTTTTAGAGACAGGGTCTTGATCTGTCACCCAGGCTGGAGTGCAGTGGTGCGATGATAGCTCACTGTAACCTCAAACTCCTAGGCTTAAGCTGTCCTCCCTCTTCAGCCTCTCTAGTAACTAGGACTATGGGTGTGTGTCACCATGCCCAGCTAATTATTTTTCTTTTTGTGTAGATGGGGTCTTGCTATGTTACTTAGGCTGATCTCAAACTCCTGGCCTCAAATGATCTTCTTTCCTCGGGCTCCCAAAGTGTTGGGATTATGGGTGTGAGCACCACACCCAGCCTATTAGTGATTTTTAATGAAAATTATTCTTGTTTTGGGGGGAGGAGGAAAGAAAATGAGGCACAAAGAGGTTAAATGACTTTTTATAAGAAATGCCTGCTAGTGAAAAAGTATAGCTCTTAAGATTCATGAAACCTTATCTGCTTCTCCATGATACTACTGTATGGTGTGTTCTTTTATCCGCAAGATTTTACCCTCATAGTTTTGTGCTCAAAAAAAGAATTGGAAAAATGAATGAAAATTGAACCATTATGTGGAGGTAGAAGTTTTTCTTTTACAACACTATCTTTTTTCATTATAACAGAGCTGAAGAAAGCAAACTTTTTAAAATCAGCAAGCCCTTCTCTTCCAGTTGTCTTTTACTCAAATGTGGCATTATTGGATTTAGAGCATGTGTATTGTTGTGTTTTTCAGGTACCAAAAGAGCATCTTATAGTCTCTATTCCTCTCTTGATTAATCATCTTCAAGCGGAAAGTATTGTCGTTCACACTTACGCAGCACATGCTCTCGAAAGGCTCTTTACTATGAGAGGGCCTAACAACGCCACTCTGTAAGTATTTGAGTCTAAGCAGTTTATACTTCTTAGCTTGGGTTGGGGACTGTACTGTACTGGTCAAAGATACCTCTGAGTGTTTTCTTAATTTCATTAGTTGTTAGGAAAACAAATATGTACTCTTTATTCAAATATACCATCTCATTCCAAAAGGATTTACCAAAATAGATAAACTATGATAATAAAATTAAATATTGACTAAATTAGAGCAAAGGAAAATAACTGAGATACAGTTAATAAATAGAAACGTGTGTCAGAGGATCCTGTATATTAGTTAAACCCCAAATTTTATTTGGAATCTCCTAGCAGCCAAGACAAATGGGAGACTTGGGGAATTAAAATTTTCACAATATCCATGACATTAAAATTAAAACAACGAGTCTTCATTAAAGGAATTACTGTGTAGTAACAGTGTTCTCAGCAAAATCATGTAACAGTTATTTTCATGTGGCTGTTTTTGTAATCTCACTTAGTTCTGAGATATAACACAGCTTAGTGAAAGTAATTCTCTAGAGGCCAAGAAGGTAGCTCCTCTGGCCTGATCCGAGGATGTAGAGGAATACACGGTCTGCGTGTCTTTCAGGCCATTCTTCAACAGTGTTATTTCTTGAAACTGAGCTTTGGGTAAGAGATGGAAAACAGTTCTAGGTTCTTTACTTCGTCAACAACTTGAAGGACAGATATTCTCAGTGGCCAATTAAGGGTTGAAACAACGTCCTCTGTAGTAGAGTCAAGGCAGTACCCGTCTTCAGGCCCAGAATTCATGCAGTGAACAGTTTGAATCTGCTGCACCTCCAAGAAAAATAGATGACTGGAACCCTTGAGACTCTAAATTCTGTTCTTGATGGTGATAGATATGAACCAGGTATGACTGTTGCAACTTTAGATGTTGAGTGTTCCTGGGTTTTTTTCTGGTTCAATTGTGTCTGGTCCCAGATTTGCCTTCTTAGGAGCTTAACATGAGCATATGTACAAAATTGTTTTCCTAAGCTATCAATTATTAGTGGTGGGAGATTGCTCAATTTTGTGCTGAGAAGTGTGATTTAGTAGTTGCCAAGGGAGTCCACAGTGACTACGCTCCAGAGTTGGTAGTGACTGAAAGCTGTTTTTTCATCTATAGCTTTACAGCTGCAGAAATCGCACCGTTTGTTGAGATTCTGCTAACAAACCTTTTCAAAGCTCTCACACTTCCTGGCTCTTCAGAAAATGAATATATTATGAAAGGTAGGCCGTTTCCCTGGTATACAGACTTAAGTATCTAATTTCAGATTACAAGGGTAAGCATTCTGAGTTATACTTCAGGTTGTGTAGTCTATGAACCAGCTAATGTTTGCCAAGAAATAGGTAGGTTTAGATATTTTTAAAAATGGAAAATATTACTTTGTTTACTATTAACTGTTTTCAGAAAATTTTTACCTTAATTTGATACAGAACCTCTTGTTATAGAAAACGTAGTAAGACCCCCTTTTCCTTTTTCTAAATTGAATTTCTTTAGGGCAGAGGTCAGACCATGCAACATTTATTGACTACATGCTCGGCAAGGTCTTGGTGAAACATGGGTACCCATGGTAGACTCCACACAGACCATGTCTTTATACATCCTGCCAAGCAAGGACATAGGTAGCTGTAACCATCTGCTGGGTGCTGCATTAGGATTAGGAGGATGTCCTGGTGCTGGCTCTAGCTTTAGGACAATCTCAGTCTTTTTTCGCTGTTGTATCCCAAAAGCCTAGCACAGTGTCTGGGTCATGAGAAACACTTTTCAAATAAACTCCCTGATCATTCAAACCTGGGTCAGGAATTCTGAGGTATATCGGTGTGTATATATGTGTCTAGGTGTGCATTTGTGTATGTTTTCAATACTAATTCTCCCAACAATGATATGTAGTTACTGTTGCTTAATGTTGACTTCTGTAAGAGCAGCTAACTGGTCACTGGTCTTCATTAATGTGTTCCTAGGATATTTAAGAGCACACAATATGTAATACTTGGTCAATAAATACTATTGTATAAGTGAACGGAAGGATTCTGTGGCAGCCCAGACGAAGGGCACTAATCCATCTTCCTACCATCTTAACCCAGGTCAGGAAATGGCTTTCTCTAGGAAGTGACGTCTAAGCTGAGATGTGAAGGATAGGTAGCAGTTTGTTGAAGGGTGAATGAGTCTTTGGCTCAGGTGGAAGAAACAGGTGCAAAGTTTAGGAGGCAAGAGTAGATAATTTTCTATCTATTATACCTAGCATATAGTAGGTACTCTGCTTAGTAAACATGTATTTTAGAAATATTATTGTGGGAAGAGAGGTGTCATACATTTTAACTTACAAATTTATTTGTCTCCCATGCTATATATTTTTAGGCATCTATTAATGAGCAATATTTTTGCAGTATGGACTCTGGCTTTATGTGTATATTTAGAATTTTCTTAGGCTGCTAATCTCTTTTTGAAGGAGATGGGTAGGTGGCCTTCTATTTCAGTTTCCTGTAGGCTGAGATCACGTTTCCATTTTCTGCCACTGATTTCTAAGTGAAAGAGACCCCAGACTGTTGTCTCTCACGCACGGCTGCTCTGCTTCTGTCAATTCACTGTTTCTTCCTCCTCTTTGTTTGCCTTTTTATTTGCTCTAATTATTTTTTTAAGCTTTGGGCCTTTTAGAAATACCCAATATTTCCAAGCTAAATTTTGTTGCCAACTCTTGTCCTAATTTTAAAATGAAGGAAAATTTAGGTTATTTTTAAATGTAGAGAGCTATCGGGGGTTGTCTTAAGTGTCTTAAAATTTTAGTTGATGAATTACTAGGCTTTTTTACCCTCTAATTTTTTGCCGAAGTTTAACTGAACTCTGTTTTTGCTTTTTCATATTTTACAGCAATCATGAGAAGTTTTTCCCTCCTACAAGAAGCCATAATCCCCTACATTGCTACTCTCATCACTCAGCTCACACAGAAACTATTAGCTGTCAGTAAGGTAACAGAGCCAATTTTGAAAGTGGGGTTGCCTTTTTGCTCCAAACTGTTTTGGCCTCCGAACTCTGGCACTGGGTGAGGCTTCGGAGAAGGTCGATGAATTCTCTCTGACCATCAGTTAATGTACTTTGCTAAAAGCATGGGTTCAAGTTAGATTGGAGACATAACAGCAGTCACCTTTAAGTATAGGCTCAGAAGCTTTAATGTGTTTTTATTCTCATTACGAAAGGCAACATGTTCATTGTATTCATTGTAGAAAATTAAGAAAGTGCAGATGATCCAAAATTATCTTAGATGTAGAAAGTAGGCTTTGCACTAAATGAATATAAAAGAGGCTATTTGGGCCAGGTACAGTGGTTCATGCCTTTAATCCCAGCACTTGGGAGGCCGAGGCAGGAGGATCATTTGAGCTCAGGAGTTCAAGACCAGCCTGGGAAACACAGTGAGACCCCACGTCTACACACCCATAAAAATTAGACAGGCATGGGGATGTTTGCCTGTAGTCCTGGCTACTCGGGAGGTTGAGACAGGAGGATCACTTGAGCCTGGGAGTTGGAGGTTGTCGTGCGTGAGCTATGTTCATGCCACTGTACTCCAGCCTGGATGACAGAACCAGACCCTGTCTCTTAAAGAAAAAAAAGAGGCTATTTGGACTTAAAAAATGATGATTACAATCCTTTGTGTGTCTTCTTCCTTCCTTTCATTTTTCAAAAATAAAGTTCACTCTTTGATCAAAAATTTTAGATACTTTGATTCATATTTAAATATCAAGTTTTAGAAAATCAGTATAAGGTAGACAGAATTCCTTTTTAGATGCTATTCTTGTCTATGAAAACAAGATAAATTCATAGGAAGTATTGCAGGGACTTTAGAGAACAGAGTGATCATTTTTCACCTGAGTTCTGGGTAAGAGCGTTGGGCTACATTGTGCTGTAAGACTTTGGGCCATTTAAGAAAATCCAAATAAACAAGCACTAGTTTAGTGTAATTGCTATTTTTTTTCTTAATGTTTTTAAAAAATAGGTGGCATCTATTTTAAATGTGTTTTAGAAAAGTTAGGTGTGTTTTGTTTTAGATGATAGTCACTTGGATTATTTGAGTAATTAGGTTTTTTTTTTTATAATTTCAGAACCCAAGCAAACCTCATTTTAATCACTACATGTTTGAAGCAATATGTTTATCCATAAGAATAACTTGCAAAGCTAACCCTGCTGCTGTTGTAAATTTTGAGGAGGCTTTGTTTTTGGCATTTACTGAAATTTTACAAAATGATGTACAAGGTAGGTTAAAGGAAATTATTTTCTTTGGTAATGGGATGAAATTAAGGTGGTTATAAAATGCAACCTGCCTAAGAGATATGTGCCTTTTATATCAGAGCCATTCCTTCTGAAGCTGACAGCTCTGTTTTTACTTTTATCAACAGAATTTATTCCATACGTCTTTCAAGTGATGTCTTTGCTTCTGGAAACACACAAAAATGATATCCCGTCTTCCTATATGGCCTTATTTCCTCATCTCCTTCAGCCAGTGCTTTGGGAAAGAACAGGAAATATTCCTGCTCTAGTGAGGCTTCTCCAAGCATTCTTAGAACGCGGTTCAAATACAATAGCAAGTGCTGCAGCTGACAAAATTGTGAGTCAGATTTCTTTTGATGTAACTATAATTTGCTAAAGTAGCTTGGAAAAACTAGGGATGGCAGGTTTAAAAAATTTCTTTATTTAGAGGAAGGGGTGGGAGGAGAAAAAAAGGAAAAAAATTATTTAAAATAATTTAATAACAAGGGAAATAATTAGAAAATTTTAAGATATGTTTTATTAGAATTAGGTAATCTTGGCCAGGTGTGGTGGCTCACGCCTGAAATCCTAACACTCTGGGAGGCCCAGGCGGGAGGATCACTTGAGGTCAGGAGTTCTAGACCACCCTGAGCAAGAGTGAGACCCCATCTCTACTAAAAATAGAGAAAATTAGCCGGGCATCTTGGCACAAGCCTGTAGTCCCGGCTACTCTAGAGGCTGAGGCAGGAAGATCACTTGAGCCCCAGGAGTTTGAGATTGCTGTGAGCTACAATGATGCCATTGCACTCTAGCCCAGACAACAGAGCAAGACTCTGTCTCAAAAAAAGAAATAAATGAGATATCCTTTAAGTGGAAATTTTTTTTACAGGAGTCAAATAAGTTGATTTCGAGAAGTTTAATGACTTATTGTGGTGGGTTTTTTTCCCCTATGTTTCAGAAGTAAAAAACTTATGAGAAAAGGATAATTAGATTCTTACAACATGACCTCCTTTTCAAGATATATATCTCCTGTTTAACTTTTAGAATAATTAATCCTGGCCTCTGTGTTAACTGCCTTTTATTTGATCTAATTTGTTACAGCCTGGGTTACTAGGAGTCTTTCAAAAGCTGATTGCATCTAAAGCAAATGACCACCAAGGTTTTTATCTTCTCAACAGTATAATAGAGCATATGCCTCCGTGAGTATGACTATAATCTCATTGTGCATTTAATCAAAAAATTTGTTGGGTACTCAGAAAAATGCTGAATTTACATTGTTGCTTTTATTGAATTCTTTAGTGAATCGGTTGACCAATATAGGAAACAAATCTTCATTCTACTATTCCAAAGACTTCAGAATTCCAAAACAACAAAGTTTATCAAGAGTAAGTAAAAATCATTTGGGTGTTCTATAGAAATAATGAAGGAAACTAGCTAAAACTAATTATACTTCGTGGTTGCAGATAAACCTTTTATCAGTTTTAAACTTTATATTGAAAATATTTTAAGATGTTTGTGTTCTCCAAAAATTAAATTAGTTTCAATTGTATTGTGTTTCAAAGGTTGCTTTATGTTAGATACCAAAACATTTTTTCAATAGAAATGATACTATAAAGAAATAGAAATCAGAGAAAAGACTGCATGTAAAGGTCTATAATATAAAGACAAAAATTTTATACGTTAAGTTGTATTAGAAGGCAAGTATTGATGCCAGAGTTGGTCATCGGGTTTTATTGATTATGCACAGGTCATATTTGGCAGACTGCCACTAAATTATCGGTTTAGTGCAGTGACGACTCTGTATTGACATTCTGCCTCTTCTTTCCACAGGTTTCTTAGTCTTTATTAATTTGTATTGCATAAAATATGGTGCACTAGCACTACAAGAAATATTCGATGGTATACAACCAAAGTAAGTTTTTACTACATTTTATTTTTAAAACGAAGAAAATGATTTGGCATTTTTTAGTGTAAACCAGTATCTCTGTCTTATAGATAATTTTGTAGTTCTTGGTGCATGGATAGTATCTATCATTTTGAAAATATTCTTAGGTGTTGGGTTGTAAAGGAAAAAATCCCATAATCATTTTCCTAATTCCCAAAGTTACTCCACCCTCTGACACTCTCCACCACAGCCAGTGTTCTTTGTTGTGTTAGATGGTGAGGAACTCCAGGAGCCTGCCTTTATTAAAGCCAACAGCATGATTTTTAAAGTAAGAAATGTTTGGGGCCAAGTAAAAATTTGCTTTTGACTTACCTGATATGTATATATACAAAGAGTGTAATTAGTAGGTATTCCCATTAGTAAGGAAATGGAAGGGGATTACAAAGAAATGATAGAATACAACTCTAGGGGGAACAGATTATTTGGGGACAGTTAGATCCCTGTACCTGAATTATTTCTGAAAAATTCTAGATTGACTAAAAGATGAATTAACCTGAAAAGTAAACCAAAAAATATGATTTCTGGCAATACAGGATTGTGATGAAATCAGTTTTATGCACTGCAGGTGGGAGCCTAAATTGGCATAATCTTTCTAGAGAGCAAAACATAGGTACTCTTTATCCATCCAGGGCATTAAAATGGCTAGAGTCTTTGATCCACTATTTTCACTTCAAAGAATGTATTTATTGAAACATAAACTGAGGATTTTACATCATTTCGAATTGAGAAAGACTTCTAGGATGTTTGCAACAACATAGAATGATTAGCCAAATCTTTTTTTTTTTTTTTTTTCCAAATCATTTTTTTAAATAACTGTTAACATTTATATACTTACAGGTACATAAGCAAAGAAAGTTGGGAAGTTTATCATCCAAAAATTTTAAAACTAGTTGTTGCTGGATGGTAGGATAAGTGATTCTTTTCCTTCTTGCTCTTGCTTATCTCTGTTTTCTAATTTTTCAAGGATTTCTTGAGTAACTTTTTAAAAACGCATACAAGACCAAAAAAAGCTGTAAACATTCTATTTAATCATAGGCTTACAATAACATGAGAGGTGTTTATTCACAAAAGATGATGGCAGTTGGCTACAGAGTAGAGATTTGTTGGGGTATTTTGTCGTTTTCATCTCTAGGCCTCCTCAGCTAACCAAAAACAGCAGGCTTTTTGTTGTTGTTGAGAGAGAGTCTTGCTCTGTTGCCCGGGCTAGAGTGCCATGGCATCAGCCTAGCTCACAGCAACCTCCAACTACTGGGCTTAAGGAATCCTCCCTCCTGCCTCAGCCTCCCGAGTAGCTGGAACTACAGGCATGCACCACCATGTCCGGCTAATTTTTCTATTTTTAGTAGAGACGTGGTCTCGCTCTTGCTCAGGCTAGGCTTCAACTCCTGAGTTCAAGGGATCTTCCCAACTCAGCCTCCCAGAGTGCTAGGATTATAGGAGTGAGCCACCGCACCTGGCCAACAGCAGTCTTTCTCTTTAGTAAATTTTTATATTCATAAAGAGTCAATGAGTGTAAATAACATTTAAATGTCTCACTGTTTATAGTGGTAGTCTAATTTAATATTGACTGGATCTGTCTTGCTTTGATTAATAGAATGTTTGGAATGGTTTTGGAAAAAATCATTATTCCTGAAATTCAGAAAGTATCTGGAAACGTAGAGAAAAAGATCTGTGCAGTTGGCATAACCAAATTACTAACGGAATGTCCCCCAATGATGGATACTGAGTATACCAAGCTATGGTAAGTATTCCATTCTAATGTTCTTAGAAATTATAGCTTCCTTCCCTTACAACTGCAGAACCAATCAAGCTTATTCTCTTGGGGGCCAAAAGAATTAGGTTCTGATCTCAGCTTCTCCACTAGCAACCGTCAGGTCCAAGATAGGACTTAAGGATCCATCTAGGCCTACAAAGATCTTATTTCCAGGTTCTTAACTTTTTAGGGGGATTCATGGATCCTTTTAAGAGTCTGATCTAGGTGATGTCTAAGACTGTTTTATGACAGAAGCTCAACTAAACTGGCGTAAGTCTTTGAAGGGAGGAACTGAATAGGCCAGGAAAAGATCTGCCAGGCGCCTCCACTCAGTGTCTGGAGGGCCTCACTTTCCTTATTTTGGTTCCACTCAGACAGCCTCTTCCATAAAGTGATCTGACAACTGGCGGTTTATTTTTTCTCATAGTTCTTCTAGTGTTGAATCTCCTTGGTTTGGCTTGGGTCACACAGCCAGCTTGAGATAGAGTAGTTTCTCAAAGACAAGTTTAGGGTACTGTAGCCAAAAGAATTGATGAACAGTTTCTGGATAGGCATAAGGTCTGTTTCCTGGAGGATTTGCTGCTTTTGTGTAAATCTTCAAAGTATTCTCTTTTTTTTTTCTTTTTTTTTTTTTTCTTTTTTTTTGTTAAGGGACAGGGTCTCATTCTATCACCACAAACTCCTGGCCTCAAGTAATCCTCCCTCCTGAGCCTCCAGATTAGCTGGTAGTAGAGGTATGCACCACCATGCCTGGCTGATTTTTAAATTTTTGCAGACAGGGTCCCACGATGTTGCCCAGGCTGGTCTTGAACTCCTGGTGTCAAGCAGTTCTCCCACCTCAGTCTCCTGAATAGCTGGGACTACATGCATGAGCCACCCTGCCCAGCTCAAACTATTTTCTTGATCTTATGTCTCTTGCTTTCTTCCAATCCAGGACTCCTTTATTACAGTCTCTTATTGGCCTTTTTGAGTTACCTGAAGATGATACCATTCCTGATGAAGAGCATTTTATTGACATAGAAGATACACCAGGGTACCAGACTGCCTTCTCACAGTTGGCATTTGCTGGGAAAAAAGAGCATGATCCTGTAGGTCAAATGGTGAACAACCCCAAAATTCACTTGGCACAGTCACTTCACAAATTGTCTACTGCCTGTCCAGGAAGGGTAAGTGTCTGTTATCAAAGAACTCTGTGATTAATGGAGACTTTACTGGGAAGGCAAGAGGATAGTAGTTGTTCTGCTGCCTGTTTTCCTTGGTCAGCATAATTAAACTACATCCTGCTGAGTTATAGACAAAGCTTATTTTCTTTAATTAAAAGCCCTCTTTTTTCTTTTATTACATACTAGAAGTATATTTTAAGTGAATGAATTTTAGGAATAAGGATGAAAGGGAAAAAATCCTTCAAATAGAAGCATATTTATTTTCCAGATTGAAATGATCCTTCTGCTGTTAAAATGTGGTAGCATTTATTGGTTTTGTTTTAGAGATACAGGGTCTCACTCTGTTGCCCAGGCTGGGATGCAGTGGTGCAGTCACAGCTCATTACAGCCTCGAATTTCTGGGCTCCAGTGATCCTTCTGCCTCAGCCTCCCAAGTAACTGGTACTACAGGCTGGTCTCAAATTCCTGGGTTCAAGCAGTCCTCCCATGTTGGCCTCCCAAAGTGCTAGGATTATAGTTGTGAGCTGCCACGCCTAACCTATTGGTTTTTTTTTTTTTTTTTTAAACTGCAGCATACTCAGAAATACATAATTCTATAAAAGGTGTACGTAAATCTAATAAATGGCTGTATAGTTGCATTTAGCCAGCACCTTTTACAGAATCATATATTACCTGATAAAATTTATATTTTTGATTGTTTTTTATGGAGAATTTCAAACATACATTGAAACAGCATAATAAACCTTCATGTACCCAGCTTTGATAATTAACAGTATTTTGCCAGTTTTGTTTCGTTTCTTTTTTTCCTTTGTATTGAGGAAGCCCTTAGACATATTTCACTTATAAGTACTTAATTGTCCATTGCTAAACGATGACTTTTTTTAACCTAACCATAATACCACTCTCACAACTAACAATTGCCCCCTATAGAGTGCAGTGGCATCATCAAAGCTCACTGCAACCTCAATCTCCTGAGCTCAAGTGAACCTCCTGCCGCAGCCTCCGAAGTAGCTCGGTCCGCAGGCGTACTTGGGCTACTGTGCTCAGCTAGTTTCCCTATTTTTTGTAGAGACGGAGTCTCGCTTTTGCTCAGGCTGTTCTCTAACTCCTGGCCTCAAGCAATCTTCCCGCCTCAGCCTCCCCGAGTGTTAGGATTACAGGCGTGAGGCACCGGGCCTAGCCAGACCTACCTATCTTAAAAGGAGTAAAGGCAGTTGAGTTTCTTGGGAATCCCTTGGACAGTGATGAATGGCTGGAGGCTCCTTCCAGAGCTGTGGCAACTGTTGCATAGAAGATGGGGTTTGTGTTGTTGCATCAGGATCTCCAACAGCTGGAGTGTGTTTCCTTCTCTTGTAGGTTCCGTCAATGGTGAGCACCAGCCTCAATGCAGAAGCGCTCCAGTATCTCCAGGGGTACCTTCAGGCAGCCAGTGTGACACTGCTTTGAACTGCATTTTTCTAATTGGCTAAGCCCAGATGGTTTCCCAGGAAATCATGTAGACGTCTGAGCACAGCTGCATTAAAACAGCAAGTTTTCCTTTTGAACTTTTCACAAATTCTATCTTGTAAAGGATATTAAATGTTGCTTTAAGCTGAACCTTGAGCAAATTAGGTGGTTTGTGTGATCATAAACATAAGTGGGTGACTTTTCTAGTTTGCAGCTTCAAGGGACAAGTATTAATAGTTCAGTGTATGACATTGAGTCGAGCATTTGCACGGTTTGAATAATTTTAAATTTTTGATGGACACTGGCTGTGGAGACTTCTTACTATTACTAAATCCTTCTGTTTTAAAGCTGTTGCCATTCATACTTCTCTTGTCCTTTGTATTTTTTGTCTGTTTCTTTAAGCTTTTATTGGAAATGTGAGTAAGTAAAAAATTGTGTAATTTGCCAAGCAATGCACATTTCATAGTTTTAAATCTGTAATCAGCAATAAAAACCCTATATGTGTCTAAGAAAATCTGAAGGACAGGTTTTCGGTGCTTTCTGATACACTATTATTAAAATGAAGAATTGCTTTAAATTTCTCCCTTGTCCCCTCCTGGACTCCATAAAATCCTAATTTCTAAATCATTTAAACTCAGATTAGTCTTTCTTTTTTTGTTTTTCTTCTTTTTTTTTTTCTTTACAAGGGAAAAGGGGACATGCATACAGATTTGGGGCTCATCTCCTAGAACATTCTATAGCAGTTCCTAGGTGGCAGTTTTGAATAAGTGGTTCCCTCTGTGGGAGCAATGCTCTGCCTGGCTTCAAAGGACTGTTGAGAGTACTTCACGTAGTACGGATGTTTGAGCTCTTCCACGTCTCTCTTCCCTGCAGATCAGAGGTTACTTGGAACTTTTCAAACGGTAGCACCTTAGAACCTTAAGGTCCAGGAGGAGCCATAGCAGTGGGTGTATCCCAGCAAAGGCTGCCTTGGGAGCAAGGCTGCATTGGCTCCCTCCTGGCCTATTGAATTCTGTAGCATTCTTTTTTAGGAAATGAAGAATCAGTTTACTTAAGCTGGAATGGTTTGTTGTGTCGTGTAAACTAGAATCTCTTCCTGCCCAGGTTTAGTGATTTCTCACAGAAGTTATTCATGTCCTTTTTTGTTTAAATCTCAGGCACACAGCTCAAATGCTTTTCTTTACATTTGTTTTTGTAGTGTTAAAGCACTCTATTAATAAGTGTATTTACACCATCTAATCTTTAAGTTTGTTTTCATTGGTTTTGACACAGTAATAGAAATTTTACATTATTACTTTGGTGTAAGTGGTCATTGACAGAAGGATATTGAGATACTTTCGGAACCTGTTTTTACGCTACAGTTTGTAGCTGAAAATTCTGGAATAGAAAGCAGGGTTTCTGTATGTTTGGCGCTCAAATAAGCCTAAGTATTGGCTTTGCTCTTGCTGAAGCTGGTGGTGAACATTTAAAGTAAATGCAGAGCAGATACTGTTCGAGAGGATGTTTGATTCAGCATGTCACAATCAGGACTAATCAAGTTCTGAATGTTTTCCTTCCTCAGTTCAAAAGATTGAGTAGTAGATTGTTTGTCTTTGTAAATGCCAAGCACGTGCGCTTTTAAAATAGTTACTGAACAGGAAGACCTGTGCTTTCACTTTTACTCTGGCACAATTCATTGATCAGTATTCTCAGTTAATTTTAAAAAATGCTTTCTGTTAAAGCTTCTAGTTTTTATATCTGGCTTTTAAAGATTTTGTTAAGATATGGTAGACTGAAGTTGCTGAAGTGGTTTTTTTTTCTTTTGACAAGTGGTAGTGACTGTAGCTTAGTGTCCATTTGTCCAGTATGAAGAGCCGGGTTTCACCTACGGCTCTGCCACTGATTGTGACCGTTTGCAAATGACCTCTCTTATTTCCTTTTCTGAAAATTGGGTATCATAATATTCATCTTCAGGGTGGTTTAAAGAATAATGAGATAATACACATAGAGTACTTAAGCTGAGAACCCATACAGAGTAAAGAAATAAAAGCTGCTGGAAGTTTATTTCTTTAAGTTCGGGGAGAGGGCCTAGCTGGGAGAAAGTGTTTGTTACTGAGCAGAGCCAAACACTGCCCCAATATGTCACAGTCCGGGCCCAGGCAAATCCCCCACCCCCGGGGCATTTTTACATACAGGGAAAATGTCATTGCCAAGTTTCTCAACAGAGCTTCTTATTGAGTCCACTGATTTCCCATGGTATTCGATCATGTCTTTTAACAAACTTTCTTTTTAAGTAATTTATTTTTTATTTTAAATGTATTTTCTTTATGGGGAATTTGGAATACCATTTACTTGGTAAACATCAGTGGATGTGTATGACTTACCCTTTGGTATATCCGAAGGATAATATAGAATATAAACATTGTTAGACATCTTGGAGGTTTTCTTATTTTGTAGACAACTCTAGAGATGTCATCCCTATGTATCACCTTTGTATCTCTATTTCCTGAAGGAATTACTGGGCCAATTACCTTATGCAAAGGTT